AGCGCAGCCGCAGCCCCACGCGCAGCAGCCAGCGCCGGCCGGGAAGGACGAGAAGCCAGCGGAGAAGGTAGTTAACAAGGAGGTTGTAGAGAAACCACGCTTGGAAACCAGACCAGTGAAAAGAGAGCCTGGCTTACCACCTCGGACATACTGGAAAGAGGCTAGGGATAGAGACTGGTTCCCAGACCAGGGATACAGAGGCAGAGGGCGTGGGGAGTATTACTCGCGAGGCCGCAGCTACAGGGGGTCTTACGGAGGACGTGGTCGGGGCAGTCGAGGCCATAATAGAGAGTACCCACACTACAGAGATCCTAAGCCTAGAACAGACCATGTGCCTTCAGGGCCTGTGAGGCAGAGAGAAGAGAGTGAAACTCGTAGTGAGAGTTCTGACTTTGAAGTGATCCCAAAACGACGGCGGCAGCATGGCTCAGAGACAGATTCTGACAGCGAAGTGCATGAAAGCGCGAGTGACACGCTGCTCTCAGACAAAGACAGTGTCATCAAGGGCAAGCACCCAAAAAGAGAAGAAAGAGCTGATGGCAAGAAGCCTCCGAAGCCCCTGTCATTCAAACCTGAGAACAGTATCAGAGTAGACAACAGATCCTTAGAAAAAACATACATAAGAGATGATGAGAACAAACCCAAACCAGGATTTCTTCCTAAAGGAGAACCTTCTAGACGAGGCAGAGGGGGAATGTACAGACGTGGTGGCAGGGACCCTGGTGGGCGTCCTCCACGTCCATCCACAATAAGGAGACCACCCTACAGAGAGAATCAGTGGAACCCTAGGCAAACAGAGATCATTAAACCAGAAGATGGAGAGCCTCCAAGAAGAAATGAGCATTATGGTCCTATACCAGTTGATAAAAGACCTCCAAAATTTGAGAGAAAGTTTGATCCAAATAGAGAGAGGCCACGAAGACAAAGACCTGCTCGGCCTCCGAGGCAGGATAAGCCACCGCGCTTCAGGCGCCTAAAGGAAAGAGAGGCTGCATCCAAGATCAATGAGGTGGTAACCAGCTCATCAACAAGTGCCACAGTTAGCAATGCCATTAATGAGCCCTCCAACCCTGCTCTGGATGTGTCAGGAAGTAAGACACCAGACTTGTCCAACCAGAATTCGTCAGACCAGGCAAATGAAGAGTGGGAAACTGCCTCAGAAAGCAGTGACTTCAACGAGAGGCGGGAGAGGGACGAGAAGAAAACAGCAGATGCAGCAGCACAGGTGGCTGCAAAAGCAGGAGAAAATGCTGGAGCTCCAAAAAGGGAAATAGCCAAGAGAAGCTTTTCTAGCCAGCGGCCTGGAATAGACCGTCAAAACCGACGTGGCAACAACGGGCCAGCGAAACCAGGGAGGAACTTCTCAGGACCCAGGAGTGAACGGCGGAGTGGCCCTCCTCCCCGAAGTGGAAAAAGAGGGTGAGTACCAGCTTCTGTGAGGGAGCACACATGGCCACTGTCTTCTGTTGTCCTCTGTGGTTCAAAATCATAAGCAGTTAATTTAGACTCATAGAACAATAGAATAGAGACTAACCACTAAGAGTGGCTCTGCACTTTCTATTTTTTGTGTTTGTATAAAAACGCCTGGAACCTGAAGCTGATAGCAGGGTGTTCTCGTATGCATAATACTAAAAATGCCTAATTAAACTGCAGTGCTGTTTCTTGAGATTTGGATGGAAGCAGAAATGTTCATGTGAGCAGCTTTGCAGTTACTACATCAATTACTGCATTGCATTTTAGATCCATCACTGAGTGTGGACAAGCGTGTTGAGAAATGCTTACCATTGAGACTCAACTTTGCTTTTCTTTATGCTGAATTTGATGGAAAATTTAGCAGGGCGTTTAATATTTCCCCAGAACAGCTTTTGATGTTGAGCTTGTCATTGAGGAGCTGAAAGTAAAAGTCTGGACCCTACTAAGAAGTTGCACAGTAGACACTTAGAGCCCTGCAGTGGGATCTGATTTACATTGTTAGCTCCTTCCTGAGTGTTCTCTGTGGCTTAATTTTCTAATTGATTTTCTACAGGCCATTTGAAGAACCAGCCACAGCTGTGCCTGGTGCTGATCCTCCCAATGGCAACTCCTTACATCAGGAGGAGGGAGGTGTTACTGCTGCAGGACAAAAGAGCACCAAGGATGCAAGTGGCAAAAAGAGAGAAGAACCCAAGGCTGGTCCGAAGAAGCCTAAGGAAAAAGTGGATGCCTTGTCTCAGTTCGATCTTAATAATTACGCAAGTATGTATTGATAATCTGCTAATTATAATTTGTAGTTCTGATAGTTTTGTTAGATGTAGAGATAAATGTTTGAAAACTTATAAAAGAAGTGATTTTTTTAAAAGCACCAAAATAATTGTACACATGAGTATTGCTACCTTTGTCATATTTAATTAGTGTGTGTCTCTAAAAGGTGGCAAATCTCTTACGTATGGATAAGAGCAGTTTTGTACAGATCTTAACTCATTCATACCTTTTTTCACCCCATTCTCATGTGGTTAACCTTCATAAGTAAAGACATTAGATATCACTGATCACCTTAGAGCTAATATCCAGGGAGGCTGTTCATTATTATGTTTTAGTTTGTATTTTCTGGAGGATCTAGTACAGGAACCTGCAGTTTTTCAGTTCTCAGAGATTAACCCCTTGTATTCAGGCTCAAGAGCAAGGCACTTGGCAAGCAGAAGCTTGCCATTAGTTAAGGCCTCCGTCTGTGTCCGTGGGCAAAAAGCTTCCACACTAAAACAGATGTTGGCTGGGTGCACTGCACCTGGAGCTGTTACAGCAGCAGCATCTATACCTTTCCTTTTTCTGTAGGTGTTGTGATCATTGATGATCACCCTGAAGTGACAGTAGTTGAAGACTCCCAATCTAACTTGAATGATGATGGTTTCACAGAAGTGGTGTCTAAGAAGCAGCAAAAACGCTTGCAAGATGAAGAGCGCAGAAAGAAGGAAGAACAGACAGTGCAGGTACAGGACCAGCATTTATAGCTACTTGCGGTAATGGGAATGTTGTCAAGTGTGCAGAATCTTCCTCTTAAAGAAGCTGTGTTTTCTCATTAGCAATATAATCAGTTATATTTAATTAAAATTGTTCCGATTTAGTAAATTAATTTTTATTTTGCCACCTTGGGATTCTGTACTTCCTGGTTGGGCACTGTCAGGCAGGTGAAATTGGCAAACAGAAAAAAAATAATTTTTAATACTGTGATAAAAATTTATCCCATTGCTTGTCTATCTGTTGATTCCAAGAGGAAAATAGATGAGAAATCATTGATCTTGTGGTTAAATACCCCTAAAAAAATAGTTATTTAAGGCTGGGTTAATCACTTTGCTTTTTTGCTGCTATGCAATGTACAATTGGTGTCTATACAGGCCATTGATTGTGAGAATAAAATTGGCTTCTGCTTACAGGTCTGGACCAAAAAAGGATCGAGCGAAAAAGGCCGCGGTCAGAATTCCAAGCTCCCACCCAGATTTGCCAAAAAGCAGCAGCAGGCAGCAGCTGCAGCTGCACAGCAGGCACAAGCTCAGGCACAAGCTCAGGCACAGCCTCCGTGTCCAGCACAGTCTCCAGCTCAGCCACAGGCCCCAGTTCCTACCCAAACCCAGGCTGCAGCAGGGACAGCCAGCACAGAGTACACAGTGTCAGGCAAAGTCCTGCAGAACACCCAGGCTCACAACGGGCTGGGAACTGAGTTATGGGACAACAAAGTGCCTCCTACAGCAGTTCTGAATGATATCTCCAAAAAATGTAAGTGGTGTCTTTTGGATTTGGGATGGGGGACAAGCATTGTCATTCAAGAAAGCTGATTGCCAGCTGCCTCTCTGCATGTCTCTTTAGCTGCAGATGTATTTTGCACAGGGAATGGAGGGCAGCATTGTAACCTCTGAAAAGAAGTTTTTGCAGTATAATGTTACTCAGTATTTTATGTTGTCATGTTCTTCATGCACAAGGATTGAACAGCTGTCACTCCCTTCAGGAGTGTGTTTTGTGGGGCTCAGCCATGCTTGCAAACGTGGATTGCCCCATGTCAAAGCAGCTAAATAAGCAGCATATTGTCAACTGCTTAATTAAAGCTTACTTAAGACATCTCTAACTTAATTCTCAGTCACTTGATACCCTTAGTTGAATGTATTAGCAACATTGAGGAATTTTTTTAACTCTCTTTTCTGAATTGTCAGTGGGACCCATTAGCCCACCTCAGCCACCTTCAGTCAGTGCTTGGAACAAGCCTTTGACATCCTTTGGTTCAGCTACATCTCCAGAGGTAAGAATGAAGCGAAGAAGAGTGTGTGAAGCTTACACAGATTACCTCTCACTGGTATTGGGTACAGATCATCCTTTCATCCAGGCATGCATATACTTAAACTAGTGTGTGTAGAATTCCATGAAGTCAGGAGATAGTACAGAAACATGGGATACAGGGTAGTGCTTTCTTAATTGCAACATGGAAAACTGTTCTGTTGGTTAAAAACTCAGCTATTCACAGATTCTGTTGATTGATAGCTGCAATTCAGTGCATTTTTAAAGGAAAAACGTGGCCCAGTTTGCATGTGAACACTTGGGTGCAGTTCAGTAATGTTGAGAGAAACAGGGTATCTCTAAGGAACTAAGTGGGTTTTGTGTTCCTTAAATTTGAGATACAAAAACCAGTAGATGTTACGTAACTATATTGTCTCTGCTTATCCCATGGAATTTACATAGCCTTAAATCTTACATTTGAAGTGCCATGGTTTTACTTTCTTGGACTTTTTTTGGTCTTAATTGTCTTAAACTGCAGGAATGTGAGACAGCTGTCCTAGGAGACCATTTCAACAGCATAAGAGATCTGGAAATAGGTTTAAATTTCTTACTGTTCCTCTTGAACATTAAGTTTTAAACTTTGAGGATGATGTTGTGAACCTGAATTTGAACATTTTGATACTGCTATTGTCCTTCTTGAGCTTGGTTGCATTTACATATTTCTTTACTGCTTTATTTTTTGAGCTTCTATAAACAATAGAAACTCAAAGGAGGAAGTGTACATTCATACATTGTTTACTCTTGCAAAACTGTTGCAGTCACGAGTAGTACTTCTGGCAAAAGATAAAAGTTCCTTATAATGGTTTTCAGCTGAGCGTATTTTGTGCTCTTTTCTGAACCATTGTCATTGTACTGATACAGGAGTTTTTTGGAATTGGGTTCAATGTTTGCCTTTTAACTAGGGCACAAAGCCTGGACAAGAAGGTGGAGTCGATCTTGGTATAGAAACAATTCAGTTTGGAGCCCCAGCTTCCAGTGGCAGTGACAATGAAGTTGGCCCTGTACTTTCTGAGAAGTCCACTGACAAGTTACCGGAACCGAAAGAGCAAAGGCAGAAACAGCCTCGGGCAGGACCCATCAAAGCACAAAAGGTAAAAGGTCATCATTTCAGCACAGACATGTAAACTTAGACACGTTCAGCCAAAAAGAGGTTGCAAATAGCAGAATAGAGTACTCATTGAGTTGAGGACTAGACCCATAAAAATTGCATTCGCTTTTTATATTTCCTAAAACAATCACCAGGGTGGCTCTTGCAGAGGAGATGGGCTAGTGTAAGTAAACAGCAGCCTAGCCCAGCAGGGGTTGGACATAGGTTCTGTGTTTGGAGCCAGGGCTGGAGCTGGAGCAGGGCTGGGATTTGTGATAGCTTTGTTAGGTAAACTGTGGATGTGGTGAGTGTTTTGGTTTTGTTTTGTAGTTTGGGTTTTTCTCCTGAGCTTGCTTCACTCAAGCTTTGAGAGCTGTTTAGAGGCATTGTGTTTCTGCCCTGGCTGTGTCTCCATGTGTCTCCAGGTGCAGTGGCTCTTCCTGCCACCATGCCTGCCTTGCACCCCTCTGAGTGGTGCATGGTGCCCTGCTTAGTTTTGTAACCAGATTATCAATTGGGTAATACATGAAGTTGCAAGAAAAGAAGTGTTTTGAGGAAAGGGAGCAATGTTAGAGACATTAATTTGAGGTTTCCAGTTCAAATGCACAGATGTCTCAATAATTAATTTTTTTTCAGCTAATACTAAGTAGGTAATCAAACTCATCTCAATTTAAAAAGTGCGTTGCCTTCCAGAGATTTAAGGGCTCCATTTGATCATCACCGTCTTGTATTTTCATTATTACCACTCATAAGGAGCAATACCTTCTTCTTCTGCCATTCTGATTACACTTAGGGATCTTTCACATTAAGGAAACCTACATTTCTGTTCTTTTAACCTCCAGTGCACACTTCCCTGTGCATCAGTAGCACTCAGCACCAGCTTCTAACTCCCAGAAAGAGACAGATGCAGCAGATAAACTTGGCTGGTGACTTAGAGAATCAGCTATTTCAGTCCTTGATGTCTGAGATCTGGCAGCAGTCCTGATGTAATTAAAGCCCTTTTGTCTTTCTGGAAGACTGGGTGTTTCTTTGTGTATTGCTTGTTTGGGTTTTGGTTGTTTGTTCCAAAAAAAAAAAGCTGAAAGTGCAGTCACACGTAGAACGAATTTAACTTCTGCTGTATGAGGCACTCGTTGGGTGTGCTGCAATTCATGGCTTTTATTGCAAAACATAGAACACGTGCAGCAGGGAAATATGCAGCAGTAGAAACTGCTGGTGAATTCAGTAACCCATATCTCAGATACACTAGCAGCATGCCTAAAGCTGCCCACAAAAAAATTGCTTACTGAACTCCAAAGTTAAATATATAGGGAGAGTCTACTTCACACTGTGTAGAAAGTTCCTTTTTTTCTGCTTGGTTATAGTTGTCAAGGCTCCTGCAGATTTTGTTGAAAGGCTCTGTGTCACTAAATGGTTAATTCCTCGGAGATTAACATTTCTTTGCACTCCTTTGAATGACAGGGCTGTAATCCTTTAACTGTCTTGATCACAAAAAATGTCTCAACAGACAATTCTTATACATGTATCCCCCCACCCCCACCACCCCCCGTGGTGATATTGTTTGCTGCAAAGCCTAAACACAAGCTCATGCTCAGGATTGGAGGTTGGTATTGTTGAATTAAATGGCCAATGTAAGAGGACCTTACTTGAAACAAAGCAATTTACCTCTCCAAGTGTGACAGTAAAATACCTAGAGGAATTTCAGCCTCTGTAAATTGTTAGAGCAAAAATTACTTGGGATAAGGTGGACCTGATTGGTGTGTTGCAGAGCTCAGGCATTTGCTTCTCCTGGTTGTTTTCTTCTTCCCTCTGAAATCCAGTCTCTGCTGGCCTCCTGAGGGTACCAAATGCCTTTGGGAGCTCCACCCTCCCCAAATCCCAAAGGCATGGAATTGTAGAGTCTTCATCTGCTCCTGAAACAGCTGGTTTATATTTATAGAGACAATACCAGCAGCTTCTGCCTTTCCACTATGAAAGCTTAAGGAATAGCATTTTAAGGATTGCCTTTAAGGAATTTGTGTGCTGCTGAGTAGCCTCAGCCAGAAAGGACATGGCTGTTGAAACAGCAGAGCATTCAGGCTCCTTAAGGCCCTTCATTCTGCTTTAATTCAGCTGCAGAAAAAGGAACTATTGAATTGCAAGTTATCCCAGCCAGTGTCTGCAGTATAAGACAACACTTGTGTGTAGGTGTTTTATTTTTTCTGGATATTCCCTTAGTGATCAGTTCCCAGGGAAAAATGCTGCCAACATCCATACATCAAGGTGGCTTGAAATGAAGCTAGTCTCTTCTAGTTTCCTGGGGTCTTGTGAAATTCTGTATCTCTGAAAATTAAAATAACCTGTAGGTATACAAAGTCATGTGACTTGTGTATTTTTTGTGCTTTTCTTGTAAGGACAGTCAAGCCAACTTCTCCAGGTTTTAACTAATCTTGCTTTAGTTGAACTCTACCCCTTCACATAAAACATGCATTGCTTGGAAGCAATAGTTTAGGTTCCTGGTGTTCAAAATGTATACGTTTCATATATGTATTGCTAACTTAGTCTCAAATGGTCGGTTAGAAAATTCTTTTATTACCCTTCAGGAAAGTTTTGTTATATTTAAAGTTATTTTAAGCATGCTAAGAGTATTCTTGTGAGGTAGGACATGGGGGGAAGACATTACTGACAAGTTAACACTAACTTAGCTTCCAGACTTGAGTCCGGTAGAAAACAAAGAGTATAAACCTGGTCCTATTGGGAAGGAGCGTTCTTTAAAGAACAGAAAGGTGAAGGATGCCCAGCAGGGAGAGCCTGAGGGACAGGAGAAGCCATCTCCCACCTCTGTCAGAAGCCCAGAGCCTGTCACTACAAAGGAAACCAAAGCAGCAACTGAACTGAGCACGGAAATAGGAACGATGATATCTGTATCTGCTCCAGAGTTTGGGACGAACACAAAGGTAAGAGAACTGTTGACAAATTACTGAACACTACATGTAAAATACGATTACAGTGAGGTAATTGACACTTGGTTGCCTGCTGGTCATAGTTACCTGGCAGCAGAGCCCACCGAGTAGCAGGTGTGGAACATCTGTACTGCTTGAAGTAAACAGCTGTGCAGAAGTGGTACAGATATGTGCTGTTTGTCATACCTGTGCAGGGATCAGTGTGGAAGGTTTTAAAGTGTTTTTCTGCTGTATAAATGTGAAAACTCAGTCCTGAGCATTGCTGTAGGGAGTGGCACTGGAGCCTGGTACAGGCAGAGTCTGTGAACTCAGATAATTGATGTATGCAAGATGAGTGCTTGGCTTCAGCAGAGACCTGGCTGGAGGTAATGTGGTGATTGCTGCTCGAGTGCATCGATGACCTGAAGCTGTGAATTAAGTGCTGCTCTGTGAAAAAATAAATCTTTAAACTAGCAATGTGCCAAAGCTCTGGGTAAGGCTTGTTCAGTTTACCTCAAGGGTCTGTATGTCAGCTCCTCTTGGCTTGGATATTGTCAAGATATCCCTTGCAGAACTCCTTCAGGACGTTGAGGATTCATCACAGTTGTCTGTGTGGAACTTCCCTGACTTCTTTAACTGCTCAGCAGTGAGATGATGACTTGCTGTCCGGATTCAGTGTTCACCAGCTCAGTTCTTAGCTGTGGTGCACTGCTAGCACTGGCTGAAAAACATCCCCAGAGGTGCTTTCCTTTTCCTAAGGACCTGTGTGGAGACACTACAGCAGCACTGTCTTGAGCAAGAGCTGTGTTTGTCATGTCTCAGTGTAAAGAAACTATGCAGTTTGAGTAGTTACATCTGCTTTGGTAAAGGAAAAATGCTTCTTGTGTGTTTGAAAATCAGCTTTTTAAGTGTAAGCTCAAGTTTGCTGCACGCTGTCTCATCCTAGTCTTAAGCAGAAATCTTCTGATGCTATTTAGGAAAACTGATCCTCTGCAAAAGTTGCAGTCATAGTTGAAGAATCTGAAACGTGGATCCCTCACATACTGAATAGGAAACATACCTTTGATTACTGCAGGCTAAGTCAATCAAGTAGCTCTGCTGAAATCAGCAGAATTTCCTCTCTGCAACTGTATTCTTAAAATACGAGTTCTTCAGAAGAGAAATCTGGATTTTGTGCCTGTCTAGCCTTAGTTAAACATGAGTTGCCAAGGTTCTTTGAACCACCACAATATTAAAGCACCAAGATTCTGTCTTCTGAAAGGAAGACCAGAGTGAAAGGAAACTTTCCCATTTGTGCTGCATATGAAAATTCCCAAGAAATTCTTCATTAAGTGGTTGCTAAAGGAAGCCTTTAATAGTAGGCCTAAATACTCTTGTCTTAACAACAACAGGTTTGCTTTTAAATTCCTTGGTCATGAGTAGTTCTGGGGCATCTGTGAGTTGGGTTTTTTCCTAGGAAAAAAGTGGTCGTATTTTATATTCTCTGGAAGTTGAACCAACAACCTGCAGATTCATTGGATAAGATAACCTTCCATCTAGATCTTGCAGGAATAAACTTGCACTGATGTAATTTGCAACTGTTTTTTCTTGTCTTAGTACTCTTTCCATTGCTCATTAATGAGTGTTGACATCATCTTTAACCTGTTGTTTCAGTGTCAAGTGTTGAAGTTTTAGCAAACCTAAATGACTTCTCTTTTGATGCTCTTTAACATCCTTCTAGATTGCTGCTCAGCTTTCAGAAAGACAAACTTCTGGTGTATTTGATGATTTAAATGTCTGTGAAAGTCAAGCCAGTTGTCCTCCTCCAGAAGCTCTATAAGAGTACCTCGTCCATTCCAAAACAAACGTCTTAATGAGAGCGTGTGCATGTAATCATACAAAACTATTTTACCTTATAAACTGCATAAATATACATCAAGTCATACTGGTGAGATGTTTTTGTTCAGTATGTGAGCACAATGCTCAGAAGCAGTTCCAGCTGTTTCTCTTGGATTTTGCAGTATTTTTGTAGTAAAGGCAGTCTGATGTCTAAAGCTTTGAGTCAGGTAAAACACTTATTTCTTGCCTTTCCACATCCTTCTATGTCTAAAGTTTGGAAGCTTTCAAAGCACAGGAACAATCAATACCTGGTTGTGGACACCAGTGAAATATTTGCACAAGTAGTTGATCACAGTTGTGTCTTACAGAGACAGGACAGGCTGCTTTTGAGAACAAATTCTGATTATCTTTCAAGGGCTGATTTGGGTGATTTCTGTAAATCAGGAACAAATCAAATAGCTCACTAATGCCATAGGTACCTTGATCCTGTAAGGCAGGGTCAGCTCTGAGGTCTGCCTTGGCCTGTTGTTCATCGAGGCACTTGAGGTTTTGTGATCTCTTCTTTTTGAGCAAAGTAGGTAGTTATAAAAGGTTTGCCTGTTCTTTTTATTCATGTGTAAATAACTTGTAGATAACTCCAAAAAATTTGTGGACAGCTTTTTGCTCTAGGTGTTACTAGTTTATGATAAAGTAGTGAGTTGGTTTCTTTAGTCCAGCAGTTGTACAGTACAGTCACTCTGATTGAATTACAGAAGCCTGTGCTGATAAGCAATATCTAACCAATTCCTGGACTTAATGTACCAGGAAATGAAGGATGGTGATTAACTGACAAGTACCAGGAAATGAAGGATGGTGATTAACAGTTTATGGACTTGTATTCTTGTGGCTGAAGCATTGCCTTGTCTGCATGTTCAGCATGTAAACCATCCCTGTAGGATGGATCAGCATTGCACATATAGTTCTGAGGGCACCAGAGCTGATACAGTGGTTTGGTTTTAATTCTAATAAAAAAGGGAGGTTTGAGCTGAGTTTCCAAAGTGAAAAAGCTTGCAATAGACTTGATCCAGTTTCTTTCATAAGGACTTTTAGTGCTGAGGCCCTGTAAAAATTGCATCCAAACCCTGAAGGAATTTTAATAGTGTTATAGTAAAAACTCTTTCCAGTGGAGTAACAAGAAGGCAGTTAATTACTTCATTAGAAGGACCTTGTGATTAAAGCAGCCTTGTATGCTTGCCTTGTTCAATGCAATGTAAGGTTGCCTGTTGGAATCCAGTACAAATGTGCAACTTGTAGTTTGGTAGTTGGAATTGTGGGAAGCATCATGCATCTTGTATTTCACCATTTTAACAAGTAAAGGAAGTAACTAAACAGAGAAAATAGTTCTGTTTTCTTCGTGAGTACAAAAACAAATTGATGTGCACAGTGTGTTCTCTGTCACCCCATTAAGGTTTAGCTTGTTCTAGTCTTTTATCAAAATGAGCTCATCCTTTTAAGAAAGATTCTTTGTTATTTGTCAGTTAGTATCTCAGTGCTTTAATTGCTTTTTAGGAGACATTGCCATAGGCTTGAGGAGTAAATTGAGTGTGCCCTTTTTTAATAGCTTATCATCGTACTGGCTGGATGCAATTAAACAAGCATTATATGGTTTGTGCCTTCAAAATCATTGTGTTGGCAAGTCCAGGCACTCAATAATAGTTCTGCTGCTAATTTGTCCTTCAGTCCCTTCGTGGTGTTTGATTCCATAAAGATGGTAGAGCCATTCCTGGGTTTCGGCCACGTAAGACTTTGAGACTGGATGTGGCACTTAGTGCCATGGTCTAGTAACCACAGTAGTGTTGGACTCGATTTTTGAGGTCTCCTCCAACCCAGTTGATTCTATGATTCTAAGACTCTGGAGTTCACAGTGCTTGCTGGAGAGTGATTCTGGCTAGTTTAGGGTCACACCATTTCTCTAGCAGAATCTCTGGGTCAGGTTCTGGTAACACTTGTTTGCCTGTCCAGAGTATGCTCAGTAGACACCAGTGGCAAGAACAAGAAACCAGCCCTGAACAGAGCTCCACAGAAGTACCAGTGCCAGAGCTCTTTGTTCATTGTAGCTCATTCTCAGAGCTGGCAGTGTTCATTGAGGCCCTTTGCTCAGGCCCTTTATGTATCTACAACTGCAGTAGTCACTGGCTGCAGCAAGGGCCATGAAAGTGGACCTTGTTTGTTGAGCACATTGAGGTCCACTTAACTGTGACAAATAAGCTTCAAGGAAAGCCTCTGGATAGACTGGAAACCTCAGTCCTTTTCTGCCTTGAAGTCACTTCCCAGTGCAGAAATCAGGAGGTAGTCTGCACCATCCAGAGCATCAGAGTCTTGTGACTGTCAGAGACAAGGCTTACAGGAAAGAAAATTTTTCTGCAAATTGCAACCATCCCTTTGTGTTCTTTTTAATCTGAAGGCCCCTACTTGTCTTTGTAAGAAATGCCTGTATTTGTTTAAAGCTACAGAAAGCTTTTAACTAATATATTTTACTTTTTAAGTAGGCTTAAAGTGCCTACAGGTGGCTAAAGTGTCTTGGGTGACAAATGGTAATTGGTTGCATCACCACAGTTCAGTATTTCAGTGCCCAGGCAGTACATTGCTCTGTATGTTCCTGCTTTACAGACTGTATTTTGACTTGTGTCCAGATGTATGTTGTGAGGTCATGAGGCAAACTGTAATCCCCCAGTAATGCTTCTGACCTCAGTAGCAATTCAGCACTGAGGATTGCTAGACATGCCCTCTGAGTAAAAATGGTGTGAAATCCTAATCTGTTGCTTGGTGAACTCCTCCTGTAGAAAGGCTGACATCTGTCCAAGAAATTGAAATCTAATTTAGGTAAGGGAGATATTTTAATGGAATTGTTTTTCTTCACAGGAGTCTGTAACAGACTACACTACACCTTCTTCTCATCCTAACACAGTGGCTACTAGCAGTACAAAAATGGAGGAGACTTTGGTGACGAACGTAAGTCTATTGCAGTGATCGTCTTGACTTTGAAGACAAGAAACTATTTTCACACTTCTTTAAAGCACCAAAAAGTGCCTTCAGTAAACAAGTCAACAGGGTTCCTGTCATGTGAACTAGCTCTGCATTATCCAGTAATCTTACTCTGAAGGACATTTGGTTTGATTAGTACCTGTTCTGGAATTCTTCAGGTATTTTCTTGTCTTTTGAACAATCACAGTGAGCTAAAGAGCAGAGAAAGTGGAGCTGTTTGTAGGGACCATTCTAAAAGAGCAAAGATAGGTGTAATGAGGGACTGTGTTCTTGGCAGCAGTTGGGACTTGAGCCTGGTACCAGTAGCAAAGCTCTGTAGGTGAGTTTGAAGAAAGGCTTTTACAAACAAAAGCAGTTTTGAACTGGAGCCTGAAATCACAGCAACTGCATGTGAAGGGAGCAGCTGAATGGTCTGTGAGAGCAGACAGCTTTCAGGTGTTGGGTTGCTATGGAGGTGAGGTGTTTGCAATCCTCAAAGCCAGTGCAGTGATCCTGACTGTATGAGTGTGGCATAGTGATTGGGAGAACCAGCTGGGTTGTGCCTTGTAGCAAAATCAAGTTTGTCTTGAGTGTGCTGGGACATCAAGGAGCTTGGATCTTGTGATTTTTGTTGTTGTTTTGAGTAGAAACAGAATTAGCTCAGAGTTGAGTCACTTGTTGACTGGGGAAGGAAGAATCATACCGTAGGATCTCAGTTTTTTATCTAAGTGTCTTGTGAATTCCATCTAAAAATGCCTTTCAGCTTACTGCAGCATCATTTTGAAGCAATACTGGTTGAACTTCTTCCTCTTCTGCTGGCTTTTCTGGTAGTGTTGTGGTCTGTGTCTTTGGTTAGTGTGGAAGACTGAATTCTTTTGTGTTAATGATGCCTGATCCCTGTGGATGTTGAACTTCTAACACAGGAAGTAGGGGCTCCTGGCCACAAAAGATCTGTGCCATCACCTGCTTCGAAGCTTCAGTATCTGTGTCTTTTGGATTAGCCTTATCTCATCCAGTGAAAGTCCATTAGCTGTGCTATGAATGGAGGAAGGAATGGCTGGAAGTAAGAGACTGGCCACTGCAGTATTTTTGATTCATTTCCTTTAAACCTACTAGGAAATCCCTCGGTGTTTTCATAGGCAGAGGTAGCAGTAGCATTATGTCAAGTTTATTTCCCCAAGTTTCACATCTTTCATCTTTTGAAAGAGAAAATAACAGAATTCAGTTATTGGATGGCAAATCTGGTTTAGTTTGTTTCATGGTCCTGCAGGTCTATAGCTTCCTCTTTTAAGGAGCTGCATCTCAGGGCTGGAGGCCATGAGCCCCATGTACTGTATTGGTACAAGAGGGGACAGACTTGGCTTGGGAAGAATTTTTGCATATCAGTAAACTGAAATGGTACTGGAAAGTAAATCCCAAAACAGGCAATTGGTATTTGTTTATGCAAAGGACATGGACACTTCAGAACATTAGTCTTCAGCCTCTTTGAGAGACATGAAGCATCTTGGCACCTGCTGAATGGCCTCTCCCCACCTACCAAATTTTCACCTTATTTTATCAGAATCTCCCTGCCAAATGCTCAAGCCTTGAAGAAATTGTACCTCACTTGATAAAGCTTGAGCTTTGCTTTCTGGGGCTTTTCTAGTAGACATAGTTAGAATGTGATGTGTGTTGCCTGCCTTTCAGGTGCCCCTGCCCCACACCCTTCCCCTCCCTAGGAGGGAGACTTTACAGCAGAGCTCCAGCCTAACTCCAGTTTCTCCCGCTACCGTCGACCTCACCCTCAAGGTATGTACCACATCCCTCTAAGGGTCATTTTCTTGCATGCAGGGGAAAAAAGTTAATGGAGAACTTGCTGGTGAACCTTTTTTTAGAGCCTTCCTTTGTTTCCTCTGCTGAACTGCTTTTGCATATAAACGGATGGCTGAAACACAAGACTATCAAAGGATGCATTAAATTATACATTTCTAACCCCGTTTTGCATTAACACTTGGCATCTCAACCAATCTTGGCTCCCACTGCCCTGAAAACCAAGATCCTAGCATTTTAGCTTTGTACCATGGTGTTCCTGGCAAACCATCAGAACCTGACTGAGGGTTTTTTTCAGAGTTTAGCCTAAAATAAGTTGCCTGGTTTGGTGTTAAAGGCTTTAAGGAGTTGCTTGGTAAGCCGAGATTGATTTCTTCTTAGCTGTAAGATTTTGGTGCAGTGATTATGTGGTTTTGAGTTGGATGGCTCACGTTCCAAATAGTGAAATGTAGATGGTGTGCTGGTGTCTCTGAAGGGCAGTTAGATCAGCTGGTCAGAATGTATTTTGTTGTGTGATAAATATTCTGTTGTTTTCTGCTCTTCAGTGTAGAGCAAGTGTGTAGAACATTTTGAACGGTGTTTTCCCATTTTGTTGGGTTTTGGACTGTGTGCATTGTATAACTCACTAACACAGAGTTGGGCTCTAGCTTTGCTACTGTATTTTTAGAAGTTGTTGGTCTTTTTCTTTGTTTGGTGTCCTAGATCTGCTTTGTGATTGTGACTGCAGGTGACTGAACCAGTAGAAGTATTGTTGCTGCTTCTAGCATTAAGGAACAGTGATGTTTGAACTTAGTTTCTCTAAATTTTTAAGAAAAGAAATTAAACTGGAGATTGGATGCAGAACTAACACTTAGGAGAAACTTGCTTGTCAATCCCAGTGAGACTTGTCTCACTGGTGTTGTTTGACAGCTGCTTGCTTGTGTTCCCTACAGATGATAGATAACAATGATTTCTTGTTGAATCTTTGCTTTTCTTTTGTTAACACTTTATTTCCTAAAAAAGTATAACATCTCCTTAAGACAATAGAGCATCATGGATGGGGAGAATACTGGAGAGGGACAGGTAGTTTAACAAAAACCTGGTTTTCTGCTGTGTAGAGTGTGTAATAAGCTACAATAATGACTTTCTGGCGTCTGAAAGCATTGCTCTGGAATGGCAGTCTCTGTTCAGCAGCTGGAGATGTGAACCCCGTGTAATACAGGTAGGAGTGTCACTGCAAAGAGTGTGACACTGTTCAGTTACAAAGCAAACTGCAGTGTTTGTGCCTGTGCAGTTTCCTTTTCTGCTCTTCTGGTGTTGATGCTTTCTCAGTGGGTGATAGGTTTTAGGTGTGTGGTAACAAAGTACATCAAAGATCCATGTTTGGAAGCAACCCTCTGGCTACAAGCTGAATGGGAAGGCATTCAGAAGCAGCTTTGTCCCTAATTTCTCTGTTCCAGCTCTACCTCCTTTTTGTACAAATGCTGATGGCAACAAGCTTGTTCTGAAGCACTGAGACTTAGCACAACAGGCCTTTTGGTCCAGGCAGAGCAGAGCTGCTCTTGGTCATCCTCTTCAGTTTAATCCTTGCTTCTTTTAAAAGATGCTTCTGGAGCAGGAGAGAGGAAAGCATTTCCTTCTTTCTTTTAAAAGAAGAAAATCTTCGGGTTCTGCCTCCAGAAGGGATTAATCCTTGCACCTCCTCTTCTGTGCATCCTGTCACAGAAAGCTGTCTGTGAAGAGACCTGGCAGGGAGCTCTGTCAGTCGCTCTCACTGCTTGGCATCATCCTCCTGGGGTGTGGGTATAAGGTGCTCATATGGGAAGGCTTGTTGAGATCTCATTTCCTTGGAGTAACTTTGCTAAAGAGACCTTCACTGTGACAGACATCCTCTTGAGAGCTTGACTGACAGGCCTGGTGGTAGGTAAGGAGCTGAGCAAAAGGAAGTCCAAAGAAATCTTAAACTGAGCTGCCTGGCCCTCTTCCGTGTTCAGGATTCCATCTAAAATTCCTGCATAGGCATCTGATCCAAAATCTGACATGTTTTCACTTTCTTCTTCTGATCACTTAGACTTTGGTGTCCTTAAGGATATGTACATTGGGGTTTATCTCCAGTGAAGGTTTTGGGTAATATGTACTGGACTATTACTGCAATGTGAAGGCCCCAATGGGTCAACAAGAAGAGAAGCCTCAAACAACTATGATCTTCTCCTTGTGCCCTCCTTTACCCATAACTGAGCAGTGAAATTACAGTGCTATCCTCAGTCTCACTTAGAGCCTCTTACTCCTTCATGTACATTGGGGTTTATCTCCAGTGAAGGTTTTGGGTAATATGTACTGGACTATTACTGCAATGTGAAGGCCCCAATGGGTCAACAAGAAGAGAAGCCTCAAACAACTATGATCTTCTCCTTGTGCCCTCCTTTACCCATAACTGAGCAGTGAAATTACAGTGCTATCCTCAGTCTCACTTAGAGCCTCTTACTCCTTCATATCTGGAGATGGTGCTTATTCCTGGAGTATGTCTTGCATCATTTTTTCTGGCTTAAGAAGTTAGAGATTAAGAAGCTCTCTAAAAGCAAAGCTGTTAGAAATCTCAGGCCTCTGTTATATGTCCTGTATATGACAATGTAGTGTGTAGCTTTTGCTATCAGTAGTTTATCCAGGACATCCTGAAACTCACTGAACATAGTAGAAGCTTCTACATCTTCCCTAATCAGACATTCACAGGTACTTATTCACTTGCTCTCAGTACCAATACAGTACAACCCTGCTACCCAGTCTTACCAGAGCCTGTGGTGGTCAGAAAGGAGCTTGTAGTCTGATCTGTGTCCACCTTCAGCAAAATCCTTTCCAGCAGGTTATAGTAAATGTTAAAAGTTTGCCCTGTCTCTTAAGAATCAGAACCAATTTGGAGGAAAATGTGGAGAAGAAACAGAGAATCATTGCTGGGGAAGGTAATCTCAAAAATAGGTGACTTGCCTCTGAGGGATTTAATGTGTAGCAAGGTTTTCCTCCTCCCCCTTGACTCTCTTGAGGAATACAGAACTCCATATTCCATGTGGGTGTGTACTGATCCCCTGTTACCCACTTCTTTCAGTATTGCCCTGCTTTTTTATCACTTCTGAAACATCTAGACCAATAACCTAAGTTATGTTTGGTCTCTCCAGACCATGCCTAACTTATGTAAAGCAGGGTAGGTTGCCAGGATGACTTCAGAGGCTGCAGGTCCCAGTCAGGGAGGCTGTCTTGATGCAGGCAGCGAGGTCAGATGTGGTGGTGAGTATTTACCCCTTTACATACACCATTAAATACAGCACCTGGCCTTGAGAAACTTAGAGTGAGCAATATCAGCCTAGGGCAGACAGCTCTGCCAGCAGCATTTTTGGAGACAGCTGAAGGTTGTGAGAAGTCCATGGACAGTGTTTGAGCCTTTAAATAAGTGGGCATAGTCTGAACATGAATATTTCCCTTTCAGTAGCCCCTCAGAAGTGTCTCAGCTTAGCTGTCGCATTGCGTGTCTAATGTAGCAATAACTAGATTTTATTGGCTGCAGTAAAACAATAGTTCTTTCCACTTCTGGTGGAAGATAACTGTGTATTGAATATTTAAAGTTTCATCTCCCTTGCTGTGCAAAACTTAAGCTCATAATTGTTATAGAAGTAGAGGAGCATGAAGCATTTTTAGCTTTTATGTGACACAGCACACACAAGCTGTGTCAGCTCAGGATTGCTGCTGGAGCAGCAGTTGCTTTGGAAGTCCAAACTTGACTACTGTCACGTTTACTGAAGTGTGCATTAGATTATCTTGGGTGGTCACTCAAAGGGGATGATTTACCAAGAAAGCAAGGGGCTCTTACATTTAAATGGCCCAAATAACTTGTAAGTAAAGGACTTCAGGGGGATATTTAGAGGTTTTTTTACCTTTCTTTTGCTCACTGTGTCTTTGCTCTTCATGTCAAAAAAACCAAGTTAAATTAGTGTGAGTGAGTTCTCTTTTGAGCACCGAATGTTAAGATGAAGAACTGTGCACGTGTGTAGTTGGAACAGATGATAAGCTCCAACTTCAGGCTATGCTTTTTGCATGAACAGAGTTGCACGATTAGGGTGACTTAAAATAGAGGCTCGCATGAAGCCTGAATTGCCTTTGGACTAAAAGGAGCTGTTAAAAGAGGAAGAGTGACTAGTTGAAACTTCCTAATAGATGAGGACATTTATTTTCTTTTAAATAGATGGAGTCTGCACGCAAAGCATGGGAGAATTCCCCAAACATGGGGGAGAAGAGTTCACCAGTGACCTCAGCAGCATCTCCCATCGCTGGTGGCAGTGGCAGCAGCAGCAGTAGCAGCAACACTGGGCCAAGCAGTGGCACTTACAGCTCCTTCTCTAGTGCATCAATGCCTCCTATTCCTGTGGCCTCAGTGACACCAACAACTTCGCTCTCAGGTACAGATATCAAGATTGTAGTGTCCTGTTGTATTGCTCCTTGGTTATGTTTTTCAAAGATTGGATTCATTTTGGAACTGTTTAATGCAAAGCTAACAGAAGTTTTAACTAGTGTGGAATGTCAGGTCTGAACAGCAGCTCCCCAAACACTTTTTAATCAACAAGATGCACTTTGTACTTCAGTCAGCTGAAAATATGAAGATGTCTCTCTGCCTAAGCTACTTACATGGACTTGAAAGAGGAGCTAAACTTCTCTTGGCTACCTACCTTAAGTTTTCTTTCTGTTCAGCTGAATGAAGCTGAGACAAATCAGCAGGCAGATTTTGGAGCAGAGGATAGTTCAACTAATTGCAATCTTTCTTTCACTTGTGCTTCTACTTTTTGAGTCAAAACTTCAAACCCTTTTTCCAAAAGGCAGAGCAGATGTTCAGCTGCTCTTCACAAACAGTGCTGGTTGCCACGTTGGTCCTTTGCAGCAAGTAAAAGATGCTATACCTGGTTAAGTGTTCATGCCTTGGAGTATTGCAGTAAATCCCCAAATCTCAGCTAAAGGGTTTGAGAAAAGGGTGTGTTGCAACGATGAGAGGCACAGCCACTATACGTTGCAATGTTTTGATGCATAACTAACCAAGATGCCAACTTCAGTATTTCTGTTCTCTTATACTTGAGAAGGGAGATGCATTGTGGGTGCAGCTGTATTGAACTTCAGAGATTGTCCTCCCTCTTTGTCATGTATTGATGGAAACAGCTGTCTTAGGTTTCAGTGTTCTTTACCAGTTGTGGCTGTGCCAAAACTTTGACCACTGAACAGTGAAGCTTGGAAATACCTTTGGTTGATGTATCCCTTGCTTCTGTCCTAGGAGCCGGAACATACACAACCTCTTCACTGAGTACGAAGACTGCAAGCACCTCAGACCCTCCTAATATCTGTAAAGTGAAGCCCCAGCAGTTGCAGACAAGCAGCCTGGCTTCTGCCAGTCACTTTTCCCAGCTGAGCTGCATGCCATCCCTCATTGCCCAGCAGCAGCAGAGTCCCCAGGTCTATGTGTCTCAGTCTGCAGCAGGTAATAGTGTTTGTGGCTGAGGAGCCACATGCTTGCTTTTTTGGAGTTCTGAAGCAGGAGACCTGGATTTGGTTCTGGTTTTCTCTGCAGTAAAGACAGAATGACAAAGAACATTCTATAAGCAAAGATTCACTCTAAATCTGCAAGTTTTTATCAGTGTAAAGATAGTGCTGTGTTAGTTTGAGTAAAGTAAGTTTGAATCTTACCATTTTTCTGTTGCAGAATTGTAAATCACTATATAAGACCAAGAATGATTTAGTTGATTTCTTTCTTGAAATGCTACAGTAGTTTAGGATCATGACATGCCTTTCCTTAAAGAAAACCCTACATGTCGTTAACCTAAATTATGTGGCAGTATAACCTGTTCTTCCCCTTCCTGGTGTTTGGCCAAAATCTGTTGTTTGTCCCCCAGAAATTGCATGGGATTCAAGATACCTAAGTAGATTCTGGGGGTGAACTGAAAAAAACCACCAAAGCTGGTTAGGCACCAGCTCTCCAGTTCTGTTCTCCCAGGCTCTCTGGTAGCTGCCACACTGGGAGGTACTGACAGTGGCTGCATCTCTAACTCTTGAATGAAAACCTTTGTAGCAGGGAGATGTTTGGAATCAGGTACTAATTGTATTGCTCTTTCTGAGGTACTACAGCTCAAATCCCAGCATTCTACATGGATACAAGTCATCTGTTCAATACCCAGCATGCACGTTTGGCACCACCTTCTCTGGCCCAACAGCAAGGCTTTCAACCAGGACTTTCTCAGGTATTTGGGGTCTTCTTACTCTTTTTGTGTTTCCCCTCCCTGTCCATATTGCCTACAGAGTTTATTAAAGATGTAATGGGGGCAGGGGAGAGTAGGACTAAAGGCTGCAAAAAACAAGGTCATGCCTGCCTTTGCGTTTTCCTCCTGGTGCACACAGGTGGTGGTCGATCTCTGCTGCTCCTGAGAATGAAAGCATTTGCCATGACAGTTGAGAAAATAAGCTTTCACTCATATGTGAAAGTCCATATTCACAGGAGGTGTTTATGACCATGTCAGTGCAGGCAGACTTAATCAACTTTTGTCGTACAAAATTATGTGCAATTTTGTGCAGTTGTTTTGTACTCAAATCTGAATGATTCATTCAGTTTCTGCTGGTTATTTGCAAGGAAAAGTGTAAAATTCAACTATAAAGTAATTTTCTTAAGAGCAAAAATATTAGCTCTGCATGGAGCCTTAGGATTTGACATTCTTTGTTTACTTTTCATAATGCTACACAAATCCTGGCACACATTTGACTGTAGCTTTTCTGTGTCACTTTTGTCCTTGGGATGTTTAATGGTTTCTTTTCTATGCAGCCTGCTTCAGTTCAGCAGATCCCCATCCCCATCTATGCACCTCTGCAAGGTCAGCATCAAGCTCAGCTGAGTTTAGGAGCAGCACCAGCTGTTTCACAAGCCCAAGAGCTGTTCAATTCCTCCTTACAACCTTATAGGTAGGTAGCATATGCAAATTTCTTTGAGTTTTGAGTGGCAGAATTTATTGAACTTTATTCCCTGCAGACTTGTGTTCTGTCTCAATAGCTAACTCATCTTCCTCTCTTTTCCAAAATCTTTGTCTGAGAACTCTGTATGAGAGTTGTGTGTCCAGTCTGCATGTGCAGATCTAGTTGTGAAATCCTGTGTTCAGAAATTGTGCATGGTATTTGTTTCTTTAGGAATCCAAGCTAAAAAGCTGAAAACATCAATCTTTTACACTAAGAGAAAGGAATAGTCTGTCCCTTTAGTGGAGTAATTTCAGTGTTAGTTTCTAATGAAACCAATGTTGGAGTCTTGAAACACTTGGAAATCCTAGTTTGAGCTCCATGGGTGGGAAAAACTTCATGTCAGCTGCATAGGGGATAGCAGGGTATGTGTCAGAATAAATGTTTTCTTCTTGCTACAGTTGTAGGACCAGTATCTCTCAGATGGCACTGACAGCCAGACAAACCTCCCCTGTAAGCCTTTCCAAAGCTTCCTTGCACTTCCTGTGGAAGCTGATTCACAGCAGTGTAATTCTGACAAATGTTGTTGGTTTCACTTTGAGAAAGTTTCTTAGGAAATTTAATGAGAGGGTTTTGCATGGGCTGTAGGAAAGCCTGCTGGTTGCCATGTAGAAGGCTGAAGCCACCAAAGGTTTAATTAACTACATTTGTATCCTGACTTTGTGCTTGGCTGACTTTGTGGGGCCAAAGATTGCTTTTCCTGCCACAGCTGACAAAAGCTGTTGCAAAGCTGGCTCAGTGCAGTAACACAATCAGTTTGGCATGTGGTCCAGATTAAATAAATGCATCTGACCCATCTGATCACACACAAACAGGGTATTAATGGAGTCCTAAGAGTATGAGTATCTTTTCCTCCTCAGTAAAGGTGCACAGGAGGATAAGCTTTGAGATGCACAGGTTACTGGTTTAAAAAATACAGCCATATGACAATTTTTGGCTACACTGAAGACAGTTCTTTGCATATGTTCTGGAAAAGCTTCTCCAGGGCTCAGAGCAGGACTGTAAGAATGTTTTGCAGTTAAGGAAGGGTTCAGAACAAAGCCAACCCAGGTGGTCTAACCCAGGTGTTGTGAGACCAGCACACTAACAGGTCAAAGCAGAACCAGTGCTGTGCTGATACATATCCACCATGTGATAAAGTAAAAAGTCTTTTTACATCAAAACCACTCCTAAGATGAAGTGAATTTAAAAGCTAAGAATTTAGAAGTTCTTCAGACTGGAAGATGACTGTTCAGCAAGCTCTTAGGTAGATGTGTGGATAAATACTTCTCATGGACTAAAACAACCTGTGTCTGGTGCTTTGCTGTATATTGGCTTTGGTCTTTGTTTTTTAAACAAACTGCAACTTCCCCATACTGGTGACAAAGGAATTGAGTGTCTGGTTAAAATGAAAGGCTGTGATGTCTTTTGAAACCAAAACATTCATTTGGAAGCTGCAGTTGTCAGTGATTTAATCTGTAAGTATTAAAAGTTGAGCTGTGGAGATCTGAGAAGTCAAGAGAACAAAGCAGTTTACTTTATGACTAAGTGGAACTACTCACATGTGCCTCCTCACCATCCTACCTTATAGCACAGGAACCAAGCACTGACAGCTTCTGTCTGGTAGAGTTAGGCTTTGCAAGAACTGTTTGAGCTTGCACCTCTGAATAGCTAAGTGTAGTTTGAGATGTTAATAAAAAACTGAATTGCTTTTCCTGTATCCTTTAGTAGCATCTAGTATTTTGTTGTGTGCAGAGGAAAGAGGAAAAAATCTCCCTTTCTCAGATGAAAATGTGTTCAGTAGAGTTAAGTGTTCTAACTCTGTTTAAAGAATATAAATTGTGCTTTTAATTTTTGGTGGCTCATTGTTGACCTCTGTCAGCACTTTGATGTATGCTTCAATCTCTTGCAGATCCCAGCAAGCTTTTATGCAAAGTGGTTTGTCTCAGCCATCACCAGTGGTTCTGTCTGGGACAACCTTACACAACTTCCCAGCAGTGCAGCACCAGGAGCTTGCTAAGGCACAGTCCAGCCTGGCATTTCAACAGACTTCTAACACACAGCCTATTCCTATCTTGTATGAGCATCAGCTTGGCCAAGCTTCAGGACTGGGAGGCTCTCAGCTGATTGATACACACATTCTGCAGGTAGGAAATGTTCCAGATGCAAAACTTGTGCAGTGGTTTGATGTAGATAATATATTTGATACTATAAACCAAGTCTTGCTCAGCCTGGGACAAGCACACCTCTGTGATAATTGTCAAGGTGGCAAGAAACTTAAGATGCTTGGAAGAGAATGTTCTTTTTGTTTCACAAAGGTACATTAGCATAGTTTCTGAATTGAGGCTTGTTCCTCAAATTACAGGGCTCCTTGCACTTCTGTCATTAATTAGAGCTTCAGGTTTAATTGCTGCTATGGTAGGTGATACAGGGCTGTTCTACCACCAGCAAATGAGAGCTTTATCATGATCTGAAGCTTTCAGGCTGTCAGCTTCCCATGCTGTGGTTTCTCCTGCACTGCTTGATGTACACCATGTTGTGCCAACGCTGCCCAGAACTAAGTGCTCTTACTGTAATGGTGTCTTGTCTCTTTTCCTAGGCCAGAGCTACACTCACTCAGGCTTCAAATCTGTACTCTGGGCAAGTTCAGCAGCCTGGCCAGAGCAATTTCTACAACACTGCACAGTCTCCCAGTGCTCTCCAGCAGGTAAACTATGGCATGGTAAATTTCCTAAATTGTATTCTTCTTAAAAGCATGTGGTTGTTGTTGATGTGTGTGGGGTGGGGATGAGGTGAGGGCTGAGACAGGCTTTCACTGCCAAAGTGGAAGAATTGCAAGGTGATAGCAAAGGAGAGCTACAGGAGCAGCACTGCACACACAGAATTGCTGAGAAGTTGGATGGCCTACAGTTCATGTTCATCATTTGTCTCTGGCATCCTTCTCTCAAATAGTTCATTTTCTAGTGACAGGCAAAGAGTTAGTTGGCACAGTGGTGTTGCTAACTGATTGAGGCACAAGGTGTCTTTATGGGGACAAGTATGAGTTAGGGGTGGTGGAGAGAAAGAGGCAAACTCCAGGTGCTTAGTGCAGCCTGATGGTTAACACCCACTCTCACCAAGATGGAACCTAACAACTGCCACATGCCAGTGACAGCACATACGTAGAAAATAACTGGGAAGTCAACAGGTGATCATACAGGAAAACAGGACAGCCAGGTCAGTAACCTGCATCAGGAGGGTTGTAAAATACCTCCAGTGATTTTTAAGGTGTTTTAATTCTTCTGTGAAAGAGCTTAATTTGCTGTGTGCAAGCATTCAGTCATACTTGCAGGATACTGTCTAGTGCTTTGCATCTGATGGTTCAATTGTTTTATTGAAGTGCCTTTTAAAAAAAGCTTATGATGGATTGATTCATAGTATCATAGAATCATAGATTCATTATAATAGCCTACTCATATGCATGAAAAATTGCCAGGACAAATCGAGAAGAGTTTTAAATTGGATCTCATCTGTTGGAAATGTATCATAAAGTTGTAAGGACCTGTTAGAGGGGTTAGTGCTTTTAATATGTTCAGTCCTAGCTATTTCCATACCTTTTATCTGTTACCCTGCAGAGCAGAATCCAAGCAAGTCTTTCACATTTAGGAATATCGTATCTTTCTTCTAGTCACACTCAGAATATAATTTTGCAGGTTATGGATTGTCAGACCAGGACATGCAGTAACTCCTGCCAGTCAGGAGTGTATTACTGTCGTGTCTTCACATTTTTCACTACCACTCTGTGGTGTTTTCACCCCACAACACTCAGTAAGGGACAGGCTGTGGTTTGGGGTTGGTTTGAAGCTTGAACTGCTGGCTGTTGGGACTCTTGGAAAGTAAAATCTAGTTCTCATCCCAGTGTCCTTTGGCTAAAGCTAATTGAAGTGAACAAATAAGCCAATCCAGTCCCCCTCACAGCTGGCTATTTTGTTCTGCTTTTGTTTTCTGAGTTGAATTTACTACTTCATACAGTGAAATCGTGTTGAATGATGTTGGAGTTAGGAGATATCATGCAGCTTTGTTTCTGAAAAGCAAAGATCCCAATGCTATCAGAACTGATTTTGAAGTCACACTGAACAAAAAATTCACTTACTTGCTTGCAGCTCTCTGGGTAAATGTGTGAACTCCTTAAATCATTTAACTTGAATAAAGCTGAAATCACAGAGCTAGTGTACTGAGAGATAAATAATGGCCTTTGTGTCTATGTTACTGGTGATTTTATACTTTATTTCCAGGTGACAGTACCTTTGCCAGGGTCACAGATTTCTTTGCCCAACTTCGGATCCACAGCACAGCCACTGATTGCCCTACCCCAATCTTTACAACCACCACTACAGCACACACCACCACAAGCTCAGGCTCAGAATCTGAGCAGACCTGCACAAGTGACTCAGCCTTTCAGAGGATTGATCCCAGCAGGAACTCAGCACAGCATGATTGCTGCAACTGGAAAGGTAATGACACTGGTGGATCTACAGCACAGAATTTAATACAAGTACAGCTGTGTGCTGGTTTATACAACACAGTGCAGCAACCCACATTGGCTCTTGCCTCTCAAATTGTGCCTCAGCCTTCGAAGGTAGGGAGGGGAAGATAGAAAAGCCAGTCAAGCTTAGTGCCTTAGTGACTGGGTCTGTGCATTTTGTAAAGGTTTAGCTGAGGTTTTGTAGCTAATTTGGTACTGGTCCATACCTGGTTTGGTAGTGACCTTGTGGACTATTTTCAACATTTTGTGTTGAAAATAGTGCAGAGCCACTGTTAGAGCAGCAGGCAAACAACGTGACTCTGCCAGGGCTGGTTTCTGATCCTGGTCATGCATGTGGTCGTTGCTTTGTTTCTGGACTCATACTAGAGCAACTTATATGGCATCAAGTCTTCCCAGTGCAACCAAGTGGAGTTTAGAGTCTTCAGTGGACTCTGTATCCATTGTGACCAAATCCAGAATAAACTACACTAATATTGCTGGGAGTCTGCATTTCTGGATAGCACAGCAAGGTGCATATTAACAACATGACAGACACTATATGTGAGACAAGACCTTTGTGTAGTTAAAAAAAAGGCTGGTCTTGCAGCTGAAGAAACCTCTCTTTGAGTGACAGCTCCAGTAAGGAGATAGCACTGCAATTGTGCCTGGCACGTGAGTACCTAAGGGGGAGTTCTCTCCTTTATCTGAAGCTGCTAATGTTGTTGCTAATGAGGGGATGTGTGGAGCTGGCTCCCAGTCACAGGGTCTCTTGTCTTGGATGGACTCACAGGTTTACAGGCACCTGGAGATGTTAGAGCACTCAGCACAGTGCAGTTGCTGTATGCTTTCAGGTGAGCAGTGGGTGATAACACTGGACATGAGCACAGCTAAGCTTTCTGTCAGGTGCAGCAAGGGTTTTCCCCAGCTCAGGGAATAATCTAGCTCTGGAAGTGCACTTGAAGTCCCTACAGCTCATGGCCTAGATTTTAGGGTGGTTTTGAGTATAAAATGTCCCCACTGTCCCAATGGTTTACAGCTGTGATAAGAAAAATCTCTCCTGGGCATTAATTCCATGTCCCAGACAGTAATGGAAACCAGAATTTCAGATCACCTAGACAAAAGGTTTTATCCTGTCACACACCCCCCAGAGTATATGGTGATTTTTGCACCATGCAGGTCTCTAACTTCATGGGATCTGCCCAAACCTTTCCACTCCATAGTTATGAGCCCATCTTGCAAGCTGCAGTGTGTTTCTTGCTGCAGTTGTCATGTTGAAATGAGTGATTGTTTTCCAGATTAATGAGGGAGAATTGCAGTGGGATGTTGGCCTTAGATGTCTTCC